AAATCTAGTTTTAGTGAAAAACCCCATTAAGTTAGTTTAGCAAGCTCCTCTCCCATATTTGATCAGCCCCGTCATCCTCCGCAGTCCCTGGAGCGATGTCTGATCACCTGGCCTGTCTCAACAGGCGCCTCGTCTGATCTGTTTAGACAGAGTCCCCCTACCCCTCACTCTCTTTCCTCTTAGTCGTCCGCCATTCCCAACGCCCACCCCGCTCTGCTTCTTACGACCCGCTTGCTCTCGCTGCGTGCTCTCCCACAAGTCTCTGCTCCGATAACTGTAATTCTGAATAAAGTCAGCCCTACATGCTCCAGCAAGTACTATTGAATAACAACAACAACAATAATGAATTATTATTATTATCATTACTCTTATTATTGTTGGTGTTGGGATCTAATCCAAGGCCCTGCACATATGATTAAGTATTTTTTTAAAAAAAAAAAACAAAGTATTTAAACAAGGTGTTTTTCTCTTTCTAACCCACCCACCTCCTGTAGTCATCATTTGTCCAAACACTGGTGAAACCAAAGCTGGCAATGGCTCCTTCACCCACGGAGTACCTCTCTCTTTGTTGTTGCTGTCTCGGGTTTGAATTCAGGACATCCCATACGCAAAGCACACACATGCACGCTCGTGCACACACGCACACACACACACACACACACACACATTGCAGAACCACACTTTCAGCCGTTTGTCTTTTAAAAACTTTTCTCTCATCTTCAGAGGACGCAAAGAATAGGCAGCTAATGCCTGGGAGGGAGGCAGAGCTGGCTGAGCCTGCCCTGTCCTGCATGGAACTCTGTCCAGCAAGGAACTCTGTCCAGCACAGAATGCAGCTGAGCCCGCCCTGTCCAGTAGAGAACGGGGCACAGATGAAGGTTAGGCCTTCTCCCCACAGACCGTGCCCACTCTGTCTCTGTTTGGGGGCAGAGGGGCGGGCTGAATGGTTCAGGATGCACAGTTAGTGTTTGGAGCCCAGACACCTGAATCTGGAACTTCCTTGGCTGTGATTCAGGTACCTGAGAATGTGGCTCCTCCCCAGCTCATCCCAGTCTCAACAGCCGGAAAGAATGGCAGTACTTTCCCAGCAGGTATTTGGAATTCCCAGAGTGGGAAATTCCCGTGCCTATAGGCAAAGGTAATTAGGTTTAGGCTCCTGTTTCCGGGGACAGGTGGGGAATGTTGGCTGGCTTTTGTTCCATGGGGTCTTAAGGGCCAGGATTGTAAAGTCTCAGATCTGGACCCAAAGACCTTATGCCTCCGGAGGGAAGACATTAGGGGTTGGTTTCCCACCTCCAGAGAGAGACAGATGCAGACTTAAGAAACAGTATTTCGTTTTCAAGCAATCTTTATTTTTGACACTGACCCGTAGGGCGATTACAGTCACGGCTCCCGTGGGGAGCAAAGGTTCAGCGATGTAGTGACAGCCTGGTCACCAAATCAGCATTATTTAGACACTTGGGTTAGATAAATACTTTGTTTTAAACATAAGCAAAAAAGAGGCAATGAGGCCAGGAGGCCAGGTGGGAGTGGCTGATGGGCTCAGCTCTGTTTTCACGGAAAACAAGTCTATCCTAAGATAGCTCCCAACTCTGGGTCCTCCAGGACACCCTGGCCTCCCAAATAAATACATACAACAGCAAATAAATAAATAATAAATAATAAATAAATAATCATAAGTGCGATCATAAATAGAGGGGCTGGCTTTGTGAGGAAGGCTGGGCACTGAAGGGTTGGGGAGCATCCGAAGACAGGAAGGCCTGAGATCTTCTCCAGCAGCATTCTAAGCCAGAGGTAGCCTGAGCCCCCCTTGGCGGAACTCAGGAATCAACATTTGAGGCTCCAGTGAATTCTGGAACCCCACAATCTAGGCTGCTATCCCAGGAGCTTGTGTTTCTGAGTGTTAGAGTTGAAAATTCCGAGCTCAGAGTCTGACCCTGAGCGTAATTCCCTTTCTAAGTTAGGAGGAGCTGGACGAGGGCTTTGGGGATCGAAGTGGGGGTGGGGTAGAGAATAGATGGACATCCCTCTGCCTCACAGAGCTATGACACCAAAGTAGACCTGCCCGGACTCTGCAAAGTCTAAATATTTGGGCAGGTTGACCTCAGCACTGAGTCGGTCGCCCTTCTCCAGCTGGAAGACCCCTCCCAGGTAGATGGGCTCATACCAGGGCTTGAGCTCCGCCCCCTCAGGGGTTTCCTTGGGGCAGGGGCTCTTGATGGCAGACAGGAGGTTGACTTTGTCCTCGTAGGCGACAGCAATGCGGCTGACGGTGTGGGTGAGGAGCACGTAGCTGGAGCAGCCCTGGCCCTTGAAGAGAACCTGGGAGTAGACGAGGTACAGTCCGTCTGCCGGTATCACCAGCTGGTTTTCTCTGAGATCCATGCCGTTGGCCAGGAGGGCATTGGCACGCTGGCTCAGCCATTCCAGCTGCTCCTCCACTTGGGGGTTTGCTGAGGAAGGGAAAATTGAGTCAGGGTGACTGTGTTAGTTCACACTCCACATCCTGAGCCTCGCGTTCTACCCACGCTTCACTTCCGGTTCCTGTACCCTCTGGGTTCCCACAACCCATTGGTCGCGAGGTCCTGGGTACCCCCACTAAGTCCTTCCTTATGAGTCACTCCCCTCTGACTCTTTCACATGCTGACCCCAAGCTCTTGTCTCCTCTCACCCTGGCTCGACCCCCAGATCCTGCCCCTTCACCCCCAAGTTGCACACACTCAGTAGAGCTCTTACCTACAACGTGGGCTACAGGTTTGTCACTCGAATTTTGAGAAGATGACCCTGAAGGGGAAGGAAGAAAGGCAAAGATGAGACCCTTAGGCGTCCCAGCAAGCATCTGTCTACTTGAACCCCTATTTCCTTTCCTCCAAAACCAAGTTTAAGTTCTCCTCACTGCTTCTATCCCAGGTCTCATTGCCCCCACCCTAAATTAAGAGAAGAAATTGGGGATACTTACTGAGGGTGAGGGTCTGAGCCATGGAGCCGATGATAGGCAGGTTGTTTGGGAACTTCTGTGTAGGAAGAGAAAGACAAGGTTAGTAGCCAGTCGCTGGGGAGTCGCCCACGAAGGAGAAGCCCCCAGCTCTCTCTCTTTACCCCTGTGTCCACTCATCCTTTGTTCACCCACCAGTCCAACCATGCAACATCTCTCTGTGGAGCATCTTCCATGCCTGTCTCTTGTTATCTCCCCTCATCTCTCCTTATCACTCACGCCTCCCTCATCGCTGTCTCCCCATAATTATTGCTCACTTCTTCCCTCTTCTTCTGGCCGCACCCCACATCTCCCCTGCATCTCTACATCTGTATACATGCTTTTTCATTCATTTGCTCCTCCAGGCATCCACGGAACAGACGCTTAGTGAACTGGCTGCCTGGGTCAGAGGTCCTGTCTCTCTTGTCTTTCTCTTCCCGCCAGCGCTACATGGGCTGCCCCTCTACTCCCCCACACTACCTGTGCCCCTCTGCCCACCTCTCTCCCTCTCATGCCCTCTGGCCCTGCCTCTGCCTAAGTGAGACAGAGGCTTCTGAGGCACTCACCTCTTCCCTTTGGGGGCCGATCACTCCGAAGTTCAGCAGACAGAAGAGCGTGGTGGCCCCTGCCACAAGCAGGAAGGAGAAGAGGCTGAGGCACAGGCAGCGACTGGAGTTCTGGGGGCCCCACGCCTTTTTGGGGAGTGCCTCCTCCGCCAGTTCCACGTCGCGGATCATGCTTTCTGTGCTCATGGTGTCCTTTCCGGAGGGAGATGTGGAACCTTGGGCCGGTGTGTGAGAGGGGCAGAACCTGCCTGGCTGGCTGCTTGCTTTCCTAGGAGCTATTTCCAGGGTGTTCTGGAGTAGCTGTTCTCCCTCCAGGCTGGTCCCCTGGTGTCCTCGCTGAGAGAGCTTCTGCAGGCCGGGTGTGCAGACAGCTGCCTTTATAGCCCTTGGGCAAGAGGGCGGGGAAATGCTCTCATTCAACCAGCGGAAAACTTCCTTGGTGGAGAAAACCATGATCTCATGTGGAGGAAGCGGTAGTGGCCCTACACCTTCTGTCTCGGTTTCTTCTCCATCGCGGGGGCAGAGGTTTGGAAAGTTGGGGACACCCAGGCATCAAGGAATCTCCTCCCCCTCCCCACCAGGATTCTGTGGCAATCTTGGGCCAATCACGAACTGTGTGTGCAGGACCCTGGGAGCTGAAGGACATTTTCTCCCTGTTGTCTAGTGCTAAGAAATGTCTGTTTCATTGCAGGGAGACCACACCTGGGCCCATCTCCCTTTGATTTCTAGATGGGACCTCCATGGGGGTAGAAGCTGGCACTGGGGGTGCTTCTGACAGCTGGGTGCATGAGGCAGGAGAAATTGCTGTTGGAGAGGGAAGCCCTCTGGGTTCCTGGGAGGAAGTGGCTGAGGGCCAAGCAGCTTGAGAGTGGAGTGTGCATGGGCTTTGGGAGGGCTGGTGGCAGTAGCTGGGACAAGCATGGGACAGCCCCTGAGGGAATGAACTCAGTCCTGGAAATTCACAGACCCCCACGAGGCAAGCCTTCTCCTTTCATTCTGACCGCGCGCCCACTGCTGCTTTCAGTCTCAACTTCCAAGGGATTTTTTTTTCATAAAGCCTCTGCCATGTAGTCTTGATGTGTGGCCCTGTCTCCTGTCTCCTCAGACAATCTATGTTGCGCACCCCTGCTTCCATGGTTTCTCCTACCCTTATGTCTCCATCTTCTGCTGGGTCCCTTCCCCACCCTCCCAGACCTGGACACTCTCCCACCCTCTGGTGTAGTCCTCCAAACTCTCCGCACCCCCGGCTTGATCTCCCTGGTTTATCCTCTGGTTCTCCTCCCTCAGGTAGGCGCTGACTCCCACGAGTCCACCGCGTATTTGGGAGCTGTCGGCTCCTTTACATCTCCTTGTTCTGCCCACACCCCATGATCCATCTAGGCCTCTGTCTCCTACTTCATCCCTTCAACAGACAAGGAAGAGTCTCCCCCAAACCTGGACAAACACGAGCAGACAGAATCTCAGAGAAAAGAGGTTTATTGGCGCCATTGATGGTGCAGACAGCTCCTTGTGGGTGTCTAGCCAAGCAGTGCGCTCAGAGCCTTGTGCCTTCTTCTAAACCCCTTGGTCACTCACACCTGCTTCTCTCTCTCTTCGATGAGTCCTGTCCTGATGCCACCTTACTCTTTGTGTCCGGAACCTGGTTGTCATCCAATGCCTCTCAGTTTCTCTCCTCGTCCTATTCTCCATAAATAAATAACTTAACCTTTCCCTTCATAAATAGCCTCCCTTCCCTGTCCCCAGACATCTCCCCACATCTGCCCCTCCTTCACATCCAGGTCTCTGCCCCACCAGACCCACAGAGACCCTGCTCTGTGTCGGACTTGTAGGCAGGCTTGAATCCTCAGCTGAGCATCTGAAGTGGTTCCCCTGGAGTGCCCCAGACGCCTGTGAAAGCTCTGGGCATTTTTGGTGGGGAAGGCTTGAGACTGTGGGCATGGGCAAAGGAGAGGTGGTGTGGCTTGGAACGGAGGTCAGAACGGAGGCTTGGAAACCAATCCTAGGTTTTTCTAGATTCTACAGAGCAAAAGCTCCGAAGAATACGCTGCTGGGGCTGAAGTGCAGGCGAGAGACCCCGTCTGTGTGGGTGGACAGCTGGTCTCCCTTACTGAGCAGGAACACAGCCCCCTGGTACATTGAGCGCACCCACGGTCCTTGTAGCCCTGGATACACAGACTTCTGTGCACTGAGGAGAGGCACATGGAAGGGGTACTGGGAGGAAAACAGCTGGACCTCGTGGGCCAGGTAGATGGGAGTAGGAATGGCCCTGGGGGAGCAGCTTTCCCCTGAGAAGACCACCTGGGAGTAGACGAAGTAGAGGCCACTGGTGGGGACCAGAAGCGAATTGTTGTTCAGGGAGAAGCCATGTCGGAGGAAAGCGCGGTCTGTGTTCGCTCTCCAGAGCAGTGAGTTCTGTTTGCTGGGGTATCCTAGAAAAGGTCATAAGGTGTTGAGGGTCAAGGTCAGAGGTCTCCATCCCAGAGGAATCAGGCACTGGACAATGGGATGGATGGGGGGGATGCTTATCTTTAGGTGGGGAGATGGAGTGATCACTTGGACCCCTGGGCAGGCAGAAGGAGAGCTAGAAGTTTACCAACAAGATGAGCAGCAGGTTTCAGGATGCCATGACTCAGGTGCTTCTGAGGGGCCTGATGAGCCGTCCTGCCAGCTGAGAACCGAGCACTAGAGACTCCCTAGGTGACAAATGAGTTGAGAAGATTCTAAGACTCCGGGTATGCTAGGCCACCCCAACAACCCCATTCTCCTGCTGCCTCACCTGGGCCCCTAGAGGCAGGGCCAGCAGCAGCCCCAGAAGAAAGACAGGGGGGGCGCCAAGCACCCTCAAGAGGTAGAGACGTCCAAGTGGTGTCATGGAGAGAACCTGCAGAGCAAGAGAGAGAGAGAGGGGGGGGGAGAGAGAGAGAGAGTGTGTGTGTGTGTGTATCAGGGAGGCGGGGCACACAGCGGAAGACAGATCTTACCTCCCAGTTGAGACAGCTACCCTGAGATACAGGGTGAGAGACAAGAGAAGGGGACAAGATACAAGCAGGGGGAACCCTGAAGCGTGCCGTGGGTAGGGAGAAAGACAGAGATGGGACAGAATGAGGAAAGAACCACAGAAGAATCAGACAGTGGGTGACAGGGACAGAGAGCGACTGACAGACGACCGAGTTAGACACCACGGGGAACAGATCAAAAGTCAAAGCCACAGGGACCAGTCCCAATAAGGCTGGGGATCCAGGTAGCTTGTACAGGAAAGGCTGGGGCCCAAATAAAGAGGCAGGATCCTGAGGGATGCCTGCGAAGGGGTAAGCCCAAGGAGATGGGGCAGGAGAGGCTCACCTGCTGTGCGGGGTCCTGGGCGCTGGCGCTTGGGTCCCTTTATAGAGGAAGCGGCAGTGTGGCAGGCAGCGGGCGGGTTCTAGGTCGGGGCTGGGGCCTGGGGAAGCCCCCAGGGCTTAGAAGATGCTACTGTTTCAGTCGAAGGCAGGAAAGGCTTAGGCCACAGGCTAGGGGCTCCGACTACTGAGTTCTGGGAAAGGGAGTGGGGTCAGGGGAACTGTGGGCTGCAGGGACTATCAGGGAGCAGGGTCAGGCCCAGGAGTTCCAGGCAAGGGACAGGCAGTTCGTGGAGAATGAGGGCTTACAGCTGGGCTGTGGCTGGAAGCCGGGTTCCCTGAAGAGCGGTGGTTTGTAACACGTCTACACCCTTGGCTGCTCACAGGCTTCTCTGCACATTTCCTTCTCCATCCTCCCTGGTCACATCTGGAGGGCTCAGTAGCCACATGTGGCTAGTGACACTTTTGTTTTTTTTTCAGGTTTGAATCCAGGGTCTAATGTATGCAAGACAAGCCTTCTGCCACAGACCTAGACCCCTCTTCCTCTCTTGTTTTTGGGGGTTCAAGTCACACTTGCTCTGCTATACTTATTTTCTTGCCTCTGCCAGTTTCATGGCATGAAGTTCCACCAGGGTATCCCCCATGGTCTGGCACCCCCTTACTCCCTAGAGCAGTGGTTCTCAACCTGTGGGTTGCAACCCACTCAGCAAACCTCTATCTTCAAAAAATATTTACATTATGAGTCATCACAGTAGCAAAATCGCAGTTATGAAAATAATTTTATGGTTGGGGTCACCACAACATGAGGAACTGTCTTAAAGGGGTCACAGTGTTAGGAAGGTTGAGAAGCACTGCCCTAGAGTGTTCAGGTCTGGAAGATGATGGGGGGGTTCAATTACAGCCCACCACACCCATATATAGTAAGGCCCCAGCTCATCCCCTGCAGGTCAGGTTTCTACACAGAAGGACGATCCAAGGTCCAGAAGCAGCACCTGAGGAGCCGTTACTGTCCAAAGGGCCTGGGGTATAGCTCAGGTAGCTTGCTTGCCAGCTGTGTGTGTCCATCCCCACATTCCCAGATTTTTTTTCTCTTAAAACAATATCTTAAAATGTTTATTTATTTTGAGGGCTGAAGAAATGGCTTAGCAGTGCAGGGTACTGGCTGTTTTTCCAAAGGACCAGTGTTCAGTTCCCAGCACCGACAAGTTGGCTTAGTATCTCTGAAACTCCAGGTCTGGGGGATCTGACGCCCTCATCTGGCCTTGGCAGGCACTGCACTCACGTGGTGCAGAAACATAGGTGCAGGCCAAGTCTCATACACAACATAACATTTAGAAATATATTTATTCTGTGTGTGTGCATGTGAGTGCAAGAAAGTGCCATGGACCACATGTGTGTGGTGGTCAGAGGACAACTCTCTGGAGCTGGTTCTCTCCTTCCGCCATGTGGGTTCCAGGGGTCAGGTCATTAGGTAAAGGCGACATTCACCTTTACCCGCTGAGCCATCTTCCTGGCCCACCTTTGTGTCTGTCTTAGAACAACATCTTCTTCTTCTTCTTCTTCTTCTTCTTCTTCTTCTTCTTCTTCTTATTATTATTATTATTATTATTATTATATTTTTGTTTTTTAATTTTTCAAGACAGGGTTTCTCTGTAGCTTTTGGAGCCTGTCCTGGAACTCGCTCTTGTAGACCAGGCTGGCCTTGAACTCACAGAGATGCACCTGCCTCTGCCTCCCGAGTGCTGGGATTAAAGTCGTGTGCCGCCACCACCCATATTTTGCTTTTTTAAAAAATGTTTTATTCTTTAAATAGTTATTATATATATATATATTCATATACACTCACACACATATACATTAGACAAGGTCTCACTACATAGTCCTAGCTGGCCTGGAACTCAATACATACATCAGGCTAGCCTTGAGCTCACAGAAATTGGCGGGATTAAGGATGTGTGCCACCACGTGTAGTCTATCTGGCTTTCTCATAGGACCCAGAAACACCACCCAGAAGATGACCCGGGCCCTCCTACATCAATTAACAACCCGACATTCGCACAGCCTCTAATCTGGCCCACCCCTCACTGAAGCCCCCTTGTTGGTGGCTCTCAGCTGTGACAACTGGACAGGTAAAGTCAGCTAGGACACTGGCGATGGCCATGGGGTTTGCTTCTGGCTTTTGTCTGACGAGAAAACGTGGATTAGAAAACCCATGGGCTTAATTAAGCCCGTTTTCACTCAGCTTGTTAGTTACAGCTTTCGAAAAACAAAGTTTGTGAGGAAGCTGTTTTGGGTCATGTTTCTGGGATTGCGGTAAAGGACGGCAGCTGGCACCTCACACATTAGCTGCCGCCACTGGCTGTGCAGTCGGATTGCTGAAGGGGGCTGCAGCTGGTACCTCACACATCAGCTGTCGCGCTGGCTGTGCAGTCGGAGAGCTGAAGGGGCTGCAGCTGGCAATGCTGGCCGCCAGGCTGGTCACTGGGCACACCGCTGTTCTCAGGCCCAAGTGACTGCGTGGGAAGATAAGCTGGTTCTGTCCACTCAGTTTCCCCATGGGTGTTCTGATGGGCAGTCCATCCTCCTCAGAATTGGGCAGGACCCTGCAGAATGAGGCTTGTGACCCAGAATCAGACTTTTTGTTTTGTTTTGTTTTTTGTTTTTTCAAGACAGGGTTTCTCTATGTAGCTTTGGAACTCTGGAACTCTCTCTGTAGACCAGGTCTTGAACTCACAGAGGTCCACCTGCCTCTGCCTCCTGAGATTAAAGGTGTGCGCCACCACCACCTGGCAGAAATTTTCTCAATGACCGGTTCTTACACAGAAAGGTGGGGGAAGGGCAACACTTCTAGGTCATGGAAAAAGGAGGATTCTGGTCTCTACGACCCACGCTGGTAAAGAGGAATTCTAGTTTCGATGGCTTGTCTAGGCGGAAGATGCCGGCAGAACAGGAGGCTCGACAAGCTGAAAGACCTGGTGCCGCTTCTCAGATCTCACACTCCCGTCTGGAGTTCCCAGCATGCTCAGGGGCATGCGCTGTGAGCTCCCGTTGTCGAACAATCCGCTTGGTGCCCTCTGCACCCCACAAACACTGCGCACCCGGCACAAGGAACTGAGGAGACAGTTTCAACAGCGCTTCCCTGACTTCAGGGATCTCAAGTTTAGTGGAGAATGGTTTTGCTTCATGACCTTGGCAGGGCAGTCCACAGGAAATCCACGGAACTGGGGGCATTCGGTAGGAAGATAAGGAAGGTGGGGAGGAGCACTCAAGGTGAGAGAGCCCTCGTGGGCTGAGATGTGCTTCTGGGTACATCTGGAATAAGCGACAGAAATACTTGTGGGTAAGCAGAGAACACAGCTGCAGGGTTTAACACCAAGGAAAGGAATTTAAATCTCATTCTGATATGATAGAGAGCCTCCAGCAAATTTAAATAAGAGAGAGATCCACCTACATTGCTATAATGAACAGAGTCTTGACGCCATGGGAAGAATGGAGGGGCCTGAGGTCACCATGGAGACCGGTGAAGAGCATTTTACAATGACCCAGCTAGGAGATGACGGGTGTCCCATCTAGGTAGAGGCGGCCCTCAGGAGAAAGTGCTTCCAGCAGAGCCTACAGTGTTGGTGGCTGCCCAGGTATAATGGAGGAAGGAAACACATAAAGGCCTCTTTCAGGCTTGGGGATGTGGTTCAGTTGGTAGAGCTCCTGCCTAGCGCACAGGAAGCCCTGGGTTCTGTTCCTAGCTCCACGTGAACTGGTGGTGATGCATGCCTGTAATCTTAACACTTGGGAAGTAAAGGCAGAAGGCTCTCCTGATTCAAATTCAAGGTCAGATTTAGCTACGTGGATTACAGGAGACACTTTGTAACAACAACAACAAAATCAGCCTCTGTAATTCTTTGTCTTCTTGTTCTTTGGATCTTTGGCAGTGCTGGCAAGGGGACCGTGGCCTTGAGCATGCTAGGCAAACACCACCTCTCGAGCTGCATTCTCTAAGACCGGATTTTAATCTAGTCATTGTTTGTGACATCTTTGGTTCCTTTTCTGTCTTCCTCTTTCCCTGGGAATCTTTATGCTTCCTGTTGTTTCTGCCTCTTAAATGGTGGTAGCCAGTGGACTGAGATCCTGGCCAAACCGTATTAAAATGAAAAAAATGGCATTGCAATCAAGGAGGGAGAGAGAGGTGGAGAAGAGGGAGATTTGGGTCAGAGAAGAAGGAAATGGAGGGACAATGGAAGGGCTGAGAGCATGAGGAGATGTGAGACACAGAGGAAGGAAGGGCACGAAGGGGCTAAGCTGTGTCACGGGACTTGGCAGTATGCTGAAGGATGTGCCTTGCCGTGGGCCAATTTTGGTTTCAATCTCAGTTTTAGAGGTTGTGTGAAATTCGGTTTCTTTCTTGGGGAGGCTACCAGCTGTTTGGGACTTTCCCCGGGTGGGTGAGCTGGTGACTGGGAGTCTGGTGTAGCGTCTGTAGCGCTCTCAGAGGAGAGGCCACCACGGAAATCTTCGGGGCCTCCAAACCAGGCCGAGGTGACAGTAGCCTCAGACTTTATCCAAGTTTAACCTTAAACCAAGTCACAGTTCAAACTCAACCTCAAATCTAAGTACACACTTGATCAGAGATCTCTCACAATAAAATCCTTCCCGTCAGACGGTTCACTCCCCCTTCCCCCCCCACCCCCGTCACTGGGCTGTTCAGTTTCTAATCCCAGACTTTATCACGCACCAGGTGGACCGTCCACCTGAACCCGAGTCACAGTTGAGCTTTGTCCTGCTTTATGACACCACCTTTAATAAATATTTGCTGAGTACCAGCCAGGAGCTTTTTTAAGGCAGGAAGCACACTGTGGGGAAAAATAAAGGTGAGACAAGGACCTGTACTACTGGGGATTGTGCTCCAGAGGGGCCAGATATTGGAGAAACACATCAGAGAGTGGGGGGTGGGGCTCAGAAATAAAGCACTTGCCTAGGATGTGGAAGACCCTG